ACCCATATTTTCCTCCATTTCCTTGTAACTTGTTCCACCTAGACTTTCTTGAACCTCGGATTTGGTTTCTGCCATATTTTCTTGTCCAATTTTGTTCTGCAGAAACTAGGAATTTAGCTTGGGATTAATGTAAGTAGAAACACGTGAGGTGGAGGGTTTAAAAATGGTTTAGCTAGGTTGTGTAGCAAGGAACAGCTGGTTGTGAAACTTTCGAGAGAGAGAAAAACCTCGATTTATTCACTTTTTTACAAAAGAATATCGGTATAATATTCTTAATATTGTAGAGGATAAGTATTTTTTAGCTATGTTTTGCAATGCATGAAGTCAACAAATATATTCTGGACCTTGTTTTTGTATTTTTCTTAAAACAAACTTCTAAATACAGATCTTTGGTATGATCCTCGATACTGTGACAAGCCAAGGCCATGAGAGGATCACTAACGAAATACCACATTTAGAAGCCCATTTACTCCACAATTTAGACAAAAATGGAATAAAGATGGAAAATTTATCAATTCCTGAAAAAAAGTAGGAAATAACTATTTTCATCCACCATTTTCATATATTTATCCCAATAGTCATAATAATAACTTTTTAGCATACATTTCGACAATGGGTACCACATATTCTGAAAACGCAACCACTGCCGTGCAAGTCGAATTCACTTTTTATCAAAGGTTGGAAGGTGTGTACAATTTTCGAAAATGTATAGTAACTTAAATTGAACTGAATATCTCTACCTATTCTGGTACTATATTAAACTATTTTAAGTCTAATGATTCATCATTTAATGTCAATGTCTAACTCTCTACTGAATATGCAACTTTTAATTTAGAAACAAAATTAGTAATAATAATTTGTCACTATTTTGTTATGGGAAAATCCGTCACTGTTTGTAGAGTAATTGAGGGAAAGTGAAAGTTATGCGCCTTAGAACGTTTCTCCTAGAAAATGACTTTTGTATTATAACAAGGTGGAAAGGGGGTAATGACAACCTTCTAAATCCCATTGTAACATCGAATTGTTCGTAGTATATATAAATATATATAAAAGGAACTATGCAAAATAGTTTGTACTAGTATCCAAAGTAGACACTAAATTGTTATCAGACGAGCTGAATATTGAGTCGTTAAAAAGACAAAATATTAATCAAATGCAAAATGGTAGGTTTTTTAGCCGGGTAAGATTCAAAGACAAAAGATATTGCAAAGTAGACAAATTTCATAATATACCAAAAGAATTCGAGCAAAGCCAAGATTGTCATCGCACTCGTGTGTGACATTATAGTACAAAAGAATAAGGAAAATAATGACTCTTTTCGTTCTCTCTATGAAATTATTTCCATTAGCCTATCTAAATGAACAATTTTTCTTCTTAACGGTAAGAAAAGGGAACTAAAGTTTAGAATTTAGTAAGGTCCTCAGTTCCCTTAGAAGAGTCTTTCCAGCTGCAGACCATGGTATCGATGCTCATCAATAAATTTTAAGATGACAATGAGGAATGGATGAAGTTTTAAGCATAAGCAGGAGAGACAGATTCACTGCCCCCACACTCAGTTTCAAAATTTTGGTCAACAAGCAAATAAATTTTAGTTTAGCGATGAAATCGGAAGAACCTATTTATTGAGAGGTCCATGTCAACCTTGTGGACACAATTTCACAAAAACTAATTTTGAAAATTCATCGAGTGATCTCAAGTCAGAATGGTTCAATGAGTTTGAAAATTGGTTAGAGTATAGCATTAAATAGGTATACTGTTGTTGTTTTTTTTTTTTTTTTTTTTTTTTTTTTTTTGTGACAGGGGAACCCGTAGCCGTTACCCTTTGAGTACGCACTAGGTAAACCCTCCAGTTGACGCAATAGCCTGCAAACCACGCCAACCAGATAAACCGCACTAGGTAAGTCCGGTACGACAGACTCGACCGAGAAAGTGTTGGGAGGGAGAATGCTGCTTTTTGTTTTTGTTGCTATCTTATGAGAGTTGATACTAGCGAGCAACAAACTAGACGTAAATCTTGTATTTAAGAGGGATTCTCTAAATGGAATAAAAAAAGATGACTTCTAGTTCATTAAGAATTTTCACTTGGTGAACTTTATTCTTTTTGTGAGAAGCATCAAATGTAATCCCATACATTGATGATGTTTATGTATTTCTAAGGCGGTCAAAGCATAATACTCAACATCATACTAATATGCATGTTAGGCAATTTTGTTGTCAAACGACCTCCCCGGGCGATGATGTAACCTCGATTGTTTATTATCAATCGGCCTCGGTCTAATGATTGATTAGTACATCGACACAATTATCGAGACAACACAATCCACTTTGTTATGGACCGTTCGAAGCAACCTATTTTATAGTGTTGCTCACGGTTCCCGCACCATTCCTTGGAAGGCTATATTATTATTGTTGAAGTCCACTTATTTGAGTTGAGCCTTGTTTGTTGGTCCACCACTTAACCCTAATTGTAACTTACCTATTTTGGACACTATACTTGGCATATAATCCCTTCCCTTTCTCGGCCTCCATTAGAGTGAAAATTTCCCCTCTTTGTGAGTCTCTCTCTCTCGGCCTCTCCCTTTCCCCTTCACTGTGACCTTAGTGGTTAACCTACCGTGGGAATATTATTGGGTTTCTCCTTCCCAATTGATAGCAACCGGACCGGCGGCGGCAAGGGTGGTGTTGGAGTTGTCTCAAGGTGTTGGTGTCGATGTTGTGGTAAACTGAGCCCGGTTTTGCACGTGGTGGCGGTGGAATTCATCCCTACATCGCATCATTACAAAGTTGAACTCTTATATTGGTTGATTGATAAACAACTTCATGAGCTCAACAATCACCTCACATAGGTAAATACCAAGCTACGTCTTCATTTGGCATGTTTGTATCCAAACAATTCTTTCCTTGCTTTTTATAAGGATAAGTTACTCGTCTTGCTCAATTTTATTCATTAGAATTTAGTGAAATTGATCTCATGGCACTTGATGACCAATTGGAGACATACATAATTGTTACGCGGTCCAAGGATGAATTTTCATAAGTCGATGGATTTAGTGGTCTTGCAAAGAAATTGGTTCAGACAAAAAGGAATTGCGTATATCCATTGGTACATATGCTTGTGAAGCTACCCTTGATTTTACCGGTTGCAACTGTATTTGTCGAAAGTTCATTCTTAGCAATGAACATAGTTAAAAGTCATTTGCAAAATTGGATGGGTGGTCAATGGATACATTAAAAGGATACATTGATACTATAAAGACGTGATTGCAAGTGTAATAATTTTTACTTTCTAAGATATAGATTTTATTTTTTTTATTTTTTTATTTTATTTTATTTTTTTTGGGAAACTAACGTTGTCATTTAGGCAGGAACTATGCAATGTTGTTTAATGATGGACATGATATATTAATGTTATCTTGAAGTACTTTTTCGGGTAGTATAATCTTTCATACCGAGTTTTTGTAATTTTGGAACTATAATTTATATTATCACTTAATTTGCCCCCACAACTCTACAAGTTAATTGTCCATAGCCTGCCTTGGAGAGCGAATATTACTGCAACAGCAATCTGTCCAGCTTCTTCGTCCCTTGCTCTACATAGTTTGATATACAAATATTACAGGAGTTCAAATGAGGAAGTAGTTCGAAGATTGGAAATTGCACCTAGAAAACAAATTTGTCGAGTAACACTAATATCAGAGCTATTTTAAGAATTTATCATTGACGAAAGTACCTTTCAGACACAGAAAGAGAGCTATAGGGTGCATTAGAGACGCTCGAAAAACTTTCCATTTTGATTTTTTTATTAAACTTTCCATGAGCTATGTAGATATATTGTATGCCCTGGAAGCCCTTCTACAGTTGTTTTTCAGTGGTCACTTGGATTTTAACGTTGTCTCGCACATGTCACTTCAGATCATTTGCAAATTGCAATATTAACGATTTGGTTCGCCGCATCATTGAAATCATTAATTTTCAAAAGTAGACATAATGATGAACAAGAAACAACATCACAGTGGAAGTACATAATTGAAAAAGAATAATAATAATAATGATGATGATGATGATGATGATGTTGTTATTATTGGGATGTCAGCTCCATTTTCTCCTGGTTAATGCCAAATTCATTTTCTCATCAATGGCCAAATAATAATCTTGAAATCAAAACTTTTACCAGCTCATTAGCCACTTCATCTAAAATATTAACACAAAAGAAAATACATATATATTTATTTAAGTTCGATCCTCTCATTATTATAAATCAAAACATCAATTGCAAAAGGACTTTATGAAGACAATAACTTGCATAAGACCGTTCAAAACCAAAAGCGTTCATGCTAAAACAATCTCAAGCCACATGTCCCGCAGACGCTCGTACCAGAGACTTTAGAGAACCTATGACTCCAATTATGGTTCATGCATAATCTATATTAGATATAACCAACTCTACCATTTACTACCACTACTGCGTTTTGGAACATGCTCCTCTGCCAGAAAATACATGACAGAAAGATTGACTTACACACACATTTGGGGATGGGATCACTTCTTCCTCCCAATTGTTTATTCATGTAGGACCCGACAGTTGTGAGAAGGTGTCAAGCTCTTTATCAACCATTTTTCTGGCAGAGAAGCATTTTCCCTACATTTTTCACATTCCATCTTTGTCTCGGTGAAATTTTTCAAAGGCACATTTAGCTCCATATATTTAATGGGCTATTATTTTTTTTTCAAGAATTCATGGTTGAGATACTTGATATACATTTTTTGTCATTTACGCCAATCATTAATTCTTTATATTTTTAGCAAAAGAAACCAAAATTCACAATCTACAACTAGACAAAAATAGCATGAATGGATATAAATAAAATGACCACATTCATCAAATTATGATTCCCTCAAGTCATGCCAAGGGAGGATAAAATCTGCACTTGTAGCTGCAATTCATGGCCAGACATTGTTTCAACTATAAGCCAAACTTCAAACAAAGACCAACACATTGATGTCAACTGCAACCAAACCTGCATCATACAACTCATAGAACACTATCTTTTTGTGGCTGTTCTTTTTTCGCCTTAATCACGGTCCTTCCATAGGTTCATTAAAGCGAAGAACCAGGCCTTCAAAACCAGTTCTATCAACAGATTCAGCCAAGAAACTCTAGTTTCTCCGTAACATAAAGAGCACATCGAAGATACATTTACACCGACAAAAACTACAACATAAAAGAAGCATACTTGAGTAGGCAAACAATGTTAAGCTCTATCTATGATTACAATAGTCAGTCACCTAGACAGCTAGAATTTAACTTGTTCTCCTATAATCCTGTCCAACATGGTACACTCCAACACACCAAGCCCACAATTAGGACTTTACACTGGAATGAAATGCTTACCAATCTAATAAAGATCAAACTTTAATAGCGATAGACATCATGGTTTGATTCAGTATCATACTGAAACATGTTACTGTATGATTCGACTTCATGGTGATATGCTGTTTGATGTTGTTCGACTTCATAGTGATATGCCGTTTGTGGTTCTTCGACTTCATAGCGATTGACATCATAAGACGGCTCATCTTCATGATGGTAGGCACGACGAGGGGAGGGAGAGCTAGGATCACTTGGAGAAGGGCTCGGAATGTGAACCTGGCTTTTTTCAACTCTGACTTCAACCAATTCAACTTCTTCAAAGGAGTTAAAAATCGGATGTAAGTATGCATCAGCCAAGTAAGATTTTAAATTGGCATCAGATTCAGAAGCACGATCTTCCATGTCTTTGTTCATTGCCTCCTGAAGAGTTTCAATAGCCAAAAGAAATAATTAGTAATCAGGATCAAAAGAACATCAATCAGAAGAAGAGACAATTCAAAGCATTTTCTAAAAGAAAACTTTAGTTAGAACATAGCCATCAGAGACTTCAATAGCATTCTAATGTTCAATACTCTCCATAAACATATTGAAAATTCTGAGTGGGCAAAATTTTCATATAAAAACATGTGTATGTCCGTGGAAGAGAACTTCTGCAGTTTCATGTGATCGACTAATCCCTGGACTATTGTAACAGCGGCAACATTGAACAGATCTAATATTTAACTACTAAGAAATAAAACCAAGATAAGCTAACTTAGTAAGAACAGAACAAAATGATAACTTAATCGATTATTCACTGGATCTCACCTCAAGAGGATACCTTCTGAATGCAGGTTCAAAGCGATTCTTGCAGTACTTGTGGAAGGTCAAAGTCAAAATAGGTAACACAACGAGTAAAGGAGTGGAATTTGCAGCTTTTTTTGTGCTCAATAAGCCCATTAGCAGCAGCTGTGATATTAGTAAGCTAGCTATTATGCGTCCATGAACATGTGGCCAAAAGGCAGCAGCGCTTTCATAATGTTGGTTATATACATTAATGACCTGAATGAGAATGAGCGGTAACATCAAAGATCTCAGATTGGAATTTATTACATCCATTGTCTATCGAAACCACAAGTTAAAAAATCGTGCTTTACTTAACTTATACCAATTACAATGCCAAAAGTGACAATATATTTTACCTATGCATGTCCTTCAAAATATTTGCCAATAGGCTATATTTGAAACAATTATAATAGTACAAGCATGTTTAGTGAAGCTTAAACAAAATTTAAAAGATACCATTTTAAGTAACTTTTTGTTTCCAAATATGTTTGGATAACTTATTTTAAAGGTAAAATATCAGTTTTTCACCCAAATTTCTACTTGGAGTGTTTGTTTGCTATTTTTTTCCATGAAAAACATTTTCCAACTTTTGAAAATATGCCTAATTTTCCTTGTTTTTAAGGAAAATATTTTCCTTGGGTACCTCCTGAAGAGTTTCAATAGCCAAAAGAAATAATTAGTAATCAGGATCAAAAGAACATCAATCAGAAGAAGAGACAATTCAAAGCATTTTCTAAAAGAAAACTTTAGTTAGAACATAGCCATCAGAGACTTCAATAGCATTCTAATGTTCAATACTCTCCATAAACATATTGAAAATTCTGAGTGGGCAAAATTTTCATATAAAAACATGTGTATGTCCGTGGAAGAGAACTTCTGCAGTTTCATGTGATCGACTAATCCCTGGACTATTGTAACAGCGGCAACATTGAACAGATCTAATATTTAACTACTAAGAAATAAAACCAAGATAAGCTAACTTAGTAAGAACAGAACAAAATGATAACTTAATCGATTATTCACTGGATCTCACCTCAAGAGGATACCTTCTGAATGCAGGTTCAAAGCGATTCTTGCAGTACTTGTGGAAGGTCAAAGTCAAAATAGGTAACACAACGAGTAAAGGAGTGGAATTTGCAGCTTTTTTTGTGCTCAATAAGCCCATTAGCAGCAGCTGTGATATTAGTAAGCTAGCTATTATGCGTCCATGAACATGTGGCCAAAAGGCAGCAGCGCTTTCATAATGTTGGTTATATACATTAATGACCTGAATGAGAATGAGCGGTAACATCAAAGATCTCAGATTGGAATTTATTACATCCATTGTCTATCGAAACCACAAGTTAAAAAATCGTGCTTTACTTAACTTATACCAATTACAATGCCAAAAGTGACAATATATTTTACCTATGCATGTCCTTCAAAATATTTGCCAATAGGCTATATTTGAAACAATTATAATAGTACAAGCATGTTTAGTGAAGCTTAAACAAAATTTAAAAGATACCATTTTAAGTAACTTTTTGTTTCCAAATATGTTTGGATAACTTATTTTAAAGGTAAAATATCAGTTTTTCACCCAAATTTCTACTTGGAGTGTTTGTTTGCTATTTTTTTCCATGAAAAACATTTTCCAACTTTTGAAAATATGCCTAATTTTCCTTGTTTTTAAGGAAAATATTTTCCTTGGGTAGAGGTGGTTTTTATTTTCCACAAAAGATGGAAAATATTTTCTTTTCTAGGTGATATTTTTCATGTCAATCAAACACACTCTTACTGTCTAAATAAGTAACTTATTTTCAACTGTGACCAATAAAAAAAGCTAATGAATTTTAAAAAAATTATTTACTTACAAATTAACTTTTTAAGCTCAGCCAAACAAGCTTTTTTGAAATTATTGAATTATTTCAAAAATTCAGGACATGTGCATTTCCAAACAGCTTGCCCTAATAATCGCAGGGTTGACATGAACACCCCATGGATTTTAGAACTTAAAAATGAGTTAACGTCTTCAAATTGACATTTGCTAAATTGATGAATCAGGCTCTATAACTTGGAATAAGAAAATAGAAGTGCAAATTCAATTGAGAACTAACCTGATGACGATAAACGAAGTATGCAAAGGCAAAGAAGACCAGTACAAAAGGAAGAAGGATCGGGGTAACAACCATATACACAATGCCCAGAAGGAAATACAATTGAAGACTCGGGAGAGTCTCGGGAAAATCAACGCCTCCGGGGTTCATGGCCCTCTCTAGGTCTCTTTCAGTTTTTACAATAAACATGTTCTTCAGGTGGAAAATCACTAGAGGTTTCAATCGGAGAATCTCGCTAGCAATCCCAGCCCACCCATCGACCATTATGTATGTGATAAAGAAAGTGGCTTTCATGGGAATTGAGACTCCAATGTTTCTTGGGATCCTGCAATCACAAAAAAATTCATTCAGGAATCATTAAAAAGAAAAACAAGGGAAGAATGGGCACAAAGACCATCCCATTTTTCTTTTCACAAAGATTAAGAAAACTCAATCAAAAAAATACTATCAGACATAATATACTTCATCCTTCCAAGATTAGCACAGTTTCCTTTATTTAAAAAATAAAAAAATAAAAAAAATAAAAAATAAAAAAAAAACACACACACACACACACACATATATATGTTTGTCTAATTCTTAATTTGGAAAAAGATTGAAAGCATTTGCCAGTCTAGAAGTTTGCAGGTTGTATATTCAGACCTGGAAGTGTAATACAAGTATGATTCCTCCTGATTAAAGCTTCTAAACTAGCCTGGCTGTTTGATTCAGCATGACACAGTTCCACAGGCGAATTAAAAAATTACAGGCTATGGTTTTTATGGCAATTTGGCACATCAAGATCTTGAAATATTTTATATTCCTCAAAACTAAGAAAATGTCACAACACCATTCACAATATTCAGTCAACTCAAGTGAGTCATATTAATGATAATTAATGATATCAACAGAAAGTAATTAGTAGCTGTACTCTCCAAGGTCACACATTACCATACACTTCACATCTTTCCAGAACAGAGGCGAGCAGGAGGAAAGCGGAAAGTGATGTAAACTAAGTGAGGAGGTACTTTTTCATTTAATTTTCTTAATTTGAATGCAAGAGTCATAATTTCAACTATTTTTCATATGATGGAAGTAAGCAAACTCACCCACATACACCAATATAAACATAGACACGGACAAACATATTTTTTCATACAAATTGAACAAATCAACTTCTGAAAAAAGTTGGTTTAGAACATGCACGCAATATAAGTCCATCGAGTACCCAAAATTATTTTTAGTCCTTTTCTGGTTTTGAGAAGTAATGGATTATGGTCCTGATCATTAAAACATTTTCTCAAGCAACAAGAGGAATAAGGACTATTACTGGGTAGCTGATTGGTGAAGGAAGGCATGAAGTTGCTGGAATGCTGTTCCCGTCACTATGCTCCCCAAGAAAACATTAACGAGCATGAAGTAGTAATATTTTGCAGCTGTTCTCCTTTCTAGTACTGATATTGCCACGTGTCCCTCTATTTTTGACATAATCATTAAAATTGCAGGAAGAATGTATAAGAAGATTTTAAGCGCCAGACCAGGAAGGAAACCCTGTAGGAAAGACTTGACAAAGTTCCTGCAAACAAAATCAGCAGCTTTTGCTAAATCTAAGAACACAAGTAAAATAGCTAAACATCAAATCTGACATGGTACCCAAGAAAATCATCAAGGTTTAAAAAAGTCAATAGCGCGAAAAGTACATTGTAATGAGGATGAGGGATTTGACATACACACATCGAAAAGAAATAAAACATAAAGAGCGCAAGATACATACTTGAATCACGTTGACTACCTGAAGATATTTGATTGAACTAAAAAGAAAAGCAAAGAAATGAAATCCTTGGTTTATGCAGAATCATGCGCTGTATGGTTTAAAGTTATCATTTTTTGTACTTCACAAAAACCAAAGAGATGCATGATAAATATTTTTATATTCATATCATCAACAATCCAGATACAGAGATATATTTTCAAACGTGGTTTTATAAAGTTTCCACAGTTCATAGACAGAATAAATAGTGTGGATACAAATTTTTATCTCAGAAGCACAAAAATGAGAACTTCACATACATTGTCAGGAATGTGGAATTTTGTAAAGTGAATCAGATTTCCGGTTGCATTATAGCCCCTTGAGTTAAGCATATATATTCAAGCGCTCTTAGTTTTACAAATTTGGTTCCACAGTTCATAGACAATTAATAAACGGTAAGAACAAGTGTTCATAAATCTCAGAAGCACAAATATGAGAACTTCACATACATATTCAGGAATGTGGAATTTTGTCACGTGAAACAGGTTTTCGGTTGCATTTACAGCCTCTTGAGTTGAGCAACAGTGATTCTCCACCAAATTAGTTCAAAGCATTTATCAATTATAGACTTAAAGTACCTTTTGCATAAACAACTAAGACATACACAAACGAATCAAATATTTTTTAACTTGGAGCTTGAACCCCTACAGCAGACAATTGGAAACATAAGGCAACATTAGAAGATGATTACGAAAAAATCACGGGAATGCCGAAATGCAAAACTAGAAAATGTCCTGCATCATTGAGAAAAAAAAAATGTCATTGTAGAGCGACTCTAAATCCCAAAGGGAATTTAACTCAAATAAAATTTCAATTATTCATAACATATATGACTATCCCAGTGATAACTACTCTGCCATTAGCCAAAGAGGTCTGTAGTTTTCGCATAGATACAAAACTGCAGTCTCAGGCAACAAAAGAAGATGTTTCTTTTATGAAAAAGTTACCATTCGATCAGCGGTCTGAGAAAAGGAGCAACCCTCTCCAACCCCTCCAGATTTGCCAATGATTGTACAAAAGCAATTGGGATCATGTAAAAGAAGACCAATGCAAACACCAATACAGATATGATGGGTTTCCGAATGCTAAGAGAAACAAATGGTATAGACAGATTCTTCCAGTATACATCCCTGGGTTCGGGGGCCCAATTTGTTAACCACAATGTGGGATTCTTGCTCTGTTGTGTTTGTGCACAAACAGCTGCTCCCCATCTAGAATTGAATGACACAAAGGCAGTGGGAATGATCGCTTTAGCATCTTTCAGAATTCTTTGGCGTTCCATCGTCAACTAAGAAGCAAGGGATGAAGAGTAATTTTATAAGAAAGAAAGAAATGCAATTTGCCAGCTCAATGAGCAAGCAAGCTTATTTAATCAAGGTGAGTACTAAGAGGTGGGAGAAGGAAAGAAGAAAAATACAAAGTTCAAGGTAGTAACTTGATCTTAAATAAAATTAGAAAGCACAACTCACTTCTTTATCAAGCTCCTTAATTTGCCCTTTGTAGAAGTCAATGGAATCAACTTTTTTACCCCAGAGTCCGAGGAAACCTTTCTGAATTAAAAACGCATTAAATATTCAAAAATGAGACTTTGTGCTGTTGACCCAGCAATATAGTTGTACATGCATGCTTCATTCTATGTCTTCAAATATCAAGGTCGAATGACTTTAACACACAAAGTGCTACCTTACTAGTTGGCCTCTTCTCTGAATGCCTCTCAAACTTGAGTTGGTTGTAGTCCAGCCAATTTTGAAGCCGGTCTCTTTTTCTGATAAGTCTAGCAAACTTATTTGCGTTGTACACAGCCTGGGTAAAGACAAGAGAATAAACATAGAAAAAGAAAGCACTTCCAAGTCAAGAAATTGTGGAAATAATCAAGTAGATATGAATTCTATTTCAAGAAAAAAGTCCACTTAGATTCGAGAGAGTGAGTTCTAAGAAAATGACATTGTATGTAATCCTTATCAAAAAAAAAAAAAAAAAAAAAAAAAAAAAAAAACTGGGGAGAAACAACAAATGACCTGGTGACAGAGATAATGATCTGGATGGTTCCTCTTAAAGAAGTTCTCAATACTATCCGATATTGAGCGCCCAGAAACACGTGGCACATTCCTAACAAGAACCTGAAGACGGTGCACGTTAATTTTAAAACACGCCGCAAATTTGAGAAATGCATGTCAATTCAAACAAGGATCTAGAACATGTCCTTCCGTTTCAAAACTGACTACGCGGATTAAATATTGGTTTCTTGACAATAAAAAGATCCACCTTAGCCATAATAATTTTCATTGCCATGATAAAAATCATATTTAAATTGGAATCTAAGCAAAAATATACTCAACAAAGCATGGTAGAGGTCACTTGGAGCTTTAAGTAGTCAACTTGAAAAGCGGTCCAAGAATGTATGAATTTGACAAAAAGGAAGAAAGCATTGGCCAGAATGATAGGTCGTGAAATAACAGAGAAGATGCATAATAATTGAAGTAAAAAAGGCTGGTTTTAGGGTTGAAAAATGCGGAATTGTAAAAACGTTAAGATAGAAACATCATGTGACTTGGGAAATTGAAACTTGATCGTGGTCTTCAATATTTTACCCCAATTCAGATCCTCAGAGTTGGCAAACCATCGAAATACCCCCTCCCCGCCCACAATGGAATACTCCTATTTCCTTTATGAAGGTATCCACATATAGTTATCATATCAAACACAGTCTTAAGGTACATCAAGACTTACAAAAGTTATAGCCATTAGTTTAAAGGCTAAAATGAACATACAATTGAAACACCCACCTTTTCAACTTTCACTAAAACTCAATAATCATTCAAACTCACAAATGTAAAAGTGTCCTTACAGCATCAGTAGTAGTGCACGATTGTCCTCGCTGCATCAATGCCATTTATTTTCGTTGTTCGTGAAGCAACCTTATCCCTCCAATTTTTGTACTTCACATTTGATAATAAGAACTCTTAACAAATGAAGTGCTATAAAAGATGTTCATCTCTAAAAGTAAGTTATCTTCATCTTGTGTTCCATTTACACACTTCTTCTTTTACTTCCTTAATACTTCTACTTAAATAAGAAAAATGTGATAGGAATCGATAGGAATTTGATGAAATTGTAAGTTACCTTGAAACAATATAATCACACATTTTTCATCACTGAAATGCAGGAAATTGTCTGTGTTCATACTTGATATCAGAATAGCAATGCAAGTTTAACTAACCGTGAATTGTTCAGCACGCTTGCCTTGGGAAGCCAAAAATTTTAACCGCATTGATGCAACTCTTCCATATTCCTTATAAAGCATGTAGCAAGTCCAAAAAGTAAACAAATACTCCATTGATATGTGGATAAAAAACCTGAAATTCAACCATAAAAGCTCTTCTCTTAGGTATGAAACTAGATGGAAGACTTAGAAAGAAGCTGAGTATTTCTGTTCTTAATCATCCAAGATGATGCGCTGATAGATCCATGCACTCTACTTATAATACTATATACTGGTTTTGGACTCCAAGTCTTTTTCTTTTTCCTGAACAATATTTCCTCTCTATCTTTGGTGATGTTGTGGATCGATATAAAAAAACCAATTCATCACTTTCATTCAAGTGACTCTTTTCAACACCTTTCTTTAGTGAAAAAAATATCAAAATAAATCCACATATAATTATCAAAATCCCTACTTCTTCTCTTAAGTGAAGGATATTTCAGTTATTAGCATCTAGCTTATACTATTTACATATATCTTCTATAGTAAAAGGACAATAAACTTACTTATAAGACTTGGGACGAATGTTTGATATTGAAAGCTTGTCAATGTTGCTGACAACCAAGTCACGGCGCAGAAAGAATAAAGTTCCTCCTGATACATTCACTGGAATGAGAACCAGAAGTGCTGCGAGAGCTATTGGTCCAAATATTTTCAAGCTGTCAAAACAGATAGAGAAAATGGCCTAATTAAATTTCAGAACTTCTATAATCGAATTGAAAATTTTAGACCTTTATGCAAGAAATTATTCATAACACTTAAATATATGCTATAACAAATTTGTCACACCTAAACGTGAATTGTAACAGAAGAGTAAGATGACTGGGAAACTTCAAAGAAAGCTTTCATCTGGTTATTGCATACTGCTTAGTCGAAAAGGCTAACAATATCATATATCATTGCCCAACTCAGCAAATAAATTTCCAGTAGACAACCGAGAATCAGAATCCTGTGAAAATATGTAGAATTGGCCACGAACTCTAAACTATTCCTTAATCTTAAACGGATTTCAAGAATTACCAGCCCCAAGTTTTAGCATCTTAAATTAAGGGCCTGTTTGGGAACGATTTTTCCTCCCAAAAAATTGTTTTTTTACCGTTATTTCAATATTTCAACCGTTATATTTGACTTCTTCTCTCACAAGTGGACCCACTTTTCTCCTAACAGTTAAAAAATTAATTGTCAAAATCACTCCCAAACAGCCTCTAAATG